TCTCTAAAAAACACACAATCTCTTAAATAATTTATAGTATGATATCAATTACTAGCATGTGGAAACACAATTGGTTTTTGTTGGCCTTGCACTTTGTGATCTTGTTAAACTCACTCATTAGTTCCAAGGTGTTCTTGGAGCTTTCCTGGGGTTTCCCATGTAGACAATATAATTATCTACAAAGACAATTACTTCTCCCATTCTGACCTGTATGCTTTTTATTCCCTTTCCTTACTATTCTGCAACAACGGACACATCAAGAACAATGTCAAATTGAAGTGCTTTAAGAGTGCACTTCCCAGCCTCATCCACGACCTTAACAGGAACACATTTGGTCTTTCAAGTCCAATAGTAACTGTAAACTATTGTTGGTTTTGGTCAGACTGAAAAAACTTCCTTCTATTACCAAGTTAGCTTTTCAATCATAAATGGATCAAATGCTTTTCATTAATTGATATTATGTTTTTTAATTTTAATATGATGGATTGCACTGGCCGAATTTCAAATAGTGAATCAATCTTGCGTATCTGAAATAAAACCTGCTTGGGTGTGGAACGACTCAAGTCTTTGCGCAGTGAATGGATTACCAGGCTGTGGTACATTTATACAATAGAACATTACCTAGTAATAAGGAAAAACAAACTCCTGACACATGCAACAGCACCAAAAGTTCTAAAGGGAAGTATTTTGAAAGAAGCAAGTCTGAAAGGGTTATATATTGTGATTCTTCACAATGACACATGACATTCTTCAAGTGATACAGTTATCGTGATGGAGAGAGGATCAGTGTGTGCCAGGCATCGGTGTTAGATTAGGATGGTATTAAGGAGCAGCAAGAGGAAATCTGTGCAGTTCTATAGCCTGACATATAACATTTCATAAACAGAAAAAGAGAACATGTAAAAACTAAAATCCAAGTAAGGTCTGTACCTGAGTTAATGGTATTGTTGCAATGTCGATTTCCTAGTTTATAATGTACTGTGGTTACTTATAATAATAGGGAGAAACTAGTACATGGGAACTTTTTGTACTGTTTTACAACCTCTTGTGAATCTTCAAAATATCTTAAAGTAAAATGTAAAATACCAGTAGGAAAAAAATGAGGGCTTAACCTCTGGAGAATGAGTCAAAGTAGTTTTTGTTCTATACCAGCAATCTTCAACCTTTTCATCTCAGGACACAGATAAACCAATTTGCTGAAATTCTGCAGCACACCAAAAATATTTTTTTTTTGCCAATCTGACAAAAAATAGAAATAATTTTGATTCATTGACACCAGATTGTCATTGGCTGTTGTCAAGGATGGCAAATTCATGACACTGAAGTAGAGCTGAAGTATAAAAACTGAGGGGACAGTGGTGGGAAATAGCTCAGAAAAATGGTAGGGCTACTTTCCTATTTATTACAAGAGTAGATTTGGGTACAAAAATATCTGATACTCGGTGTTTTTTTTTTAAGTAAATTCTTCTCTGTGAAATAGTAAGAAGGCTGTTTTGGTTTGCTATGGCTGCCTTAACAAAGTACACAAAGAACTAGGTGTTATAAAAAACAAACACTTGTTTCATCACAGTTGTAGAGGCCAGAAGTCCAAGATCAAAGTGTCAGCAGGGTTGGTTTCTTCTGAGGAATTACTCCTTGACTCGTGATGGACATTTTCTTTGTCTTTCCTTAATGTTTCCTTTGTGTCTGTGTCCTAATCACTTCTTATAAAGACATCAACCAGATTGGTTTAGGGCCAAAGCATATGACCTAATGGTACCTTAATTGCCCCTTTCAAGACTCTAGCTACAAATTAAGTCACATTCTGAGGTACCAGACATTAGGATTCAACATGAATTTGGGGGAGACACAATTCAGCCCATAACAAGAGGTTACTCACCAAGATTAAGAGGGAGATTGTATACATCTGTGGTGTAAGTGAAAGTTTAAAAATAGTTCTAAATAGTCTAAAATAGATCTTACATTGGCTATATATGAAGTAACACTTGAAACAGAACACTTAATTTAAACCAATTTAGTTCAAAAGAAAATTTGACTTTATTATTCTATTAAAAACTTTTTTCCAAATCATAAAATCTGAATTCTGTTCCCTTTTCTACAAACGAGCAGTGAGTGTCACTTGAACATATCTGGCTCTATCTTTACTACTCTAAAACAGAAACAATTTATCAAAGAACAGATATACGCCTCTGAATATACCAGAAAGAGCACTAACTGGGGAGGCCCTGACATCCTGGTCCTATTCCTTGCTCCATCACAGAGAACTTAATTTCTCTGAAACTTGATTCCTCATCTTAAAATGGAGTACAACTAAATCATCTTTTTTCTTCCCCTCTAAACTCCTATAGTCCTATAAAATGAAATGAAGTTACTTTGAGAATGAATGGATTGTAGCATTAGAAAAGACTTTAAAATATTTGCCAATAAAAATTATATGCTTCCAGCATATTAAAACATTGGTCTTCCATTTCTATTTTCTCTCCTTCCCTCTCTGCTCCCAAGTCAATATTATCCTTATGGTAATAAGTCTTTTTCTCACTTCTGTTGGCTTAATACTTGGTGCTGAGTTGTAATAATATACTACTTCTTTTATTATATACAATTATCTACTTAACCTTAAGTGATTATATTCTGAAATAGCATTCTAAAATGAGTTTTTCATGTTAAAAAAGTTACATGGTGGATATATTAGTCAGAAACATATATGACTAAAGTAACAGAAATCAGGAGTTTGTTTTTCTCATATAAGCACTGAGGTTGGCAATTCCTTACACAGGTTTAGGTGTTCAAAATTGCTACCAGAGACCTGGGCTCTCCTTAACCTTCCGAAGGAAACTTCTTCAAAATGTAGCTTTCATCTCCTATTTACCATTTCATGGTTGTAGGATGGATGTTGTTCCTCTAGGTATGTTGCTGGCCAGAAGGAGAAACAAAAAGCTTCAGCTCACAAAGCTCCGACTTTTTAATCTGAAAGGAAGGCCCTTCCCAACATTCTTCTGTTCACTTTTAACTCTAACTAGGTCACGTGCCTATACTTATCATTTCTGAGCTGTCCAATATGTTGCCCACAAGTCACGTTCAGCTATTTAAATTGAAATAAAGTTAAATTAAAAATTCAACTTTTCAGTTGCACTGGGCCTATTTCATTCAGCTGGTGGCTATCATAGTAGACGGCACAAATACAGACTATTTTCTTCACTGCAAAAAGTTCTACCTGGCCTATCACAGACCATAAAGAATGAAACCACTGTGGCTGGTGTGGCTCAGTGGATTGAGTGCTGGCCTGAGAACCAAGGGGTCACCAGGTTCGATACCTGGTCAGGGCACATGCCTGGGTTGCAGGCCAGGTCCCCAGAAGGGGGAGCACAAGAGGCAACCACACACTGATGTTTCTTTCCCTCTCTCTCTCCCTCCCCTCCCTCTAAAAATAATACTGAGAACAGTGAAAAATGTTTTTTAAGAAATACAATGAAACCATTGCCATTTAATATCAATTATGATGCATCCCCTGGGGTTGGGGTAAAGTCCTAACCTCCCTGGGGAATAGGGATCTCTGCTCCTATTGGAACAATATAGGATACTATTCATAGGGTAAAAGTGAAGGTAACGGTTGGGTAGGCAACTGTGTGCCACAATGGGATTATCACTACATTTAAATTGAGGCCCATAAATTACAATAGTAACAGAGTAATACAATTCTTGGACAGAAGGTATTAAAATTTAAAAAATAAAGTGAAACTAAAGTTGAGAGTAATGAGGCACTAACTTATTACACAAATTTAATTATTAAAGAAAACACTATTCTAGTGACTAATGGGAACAGATCTGAGAGGATAAGGTAGTAGAATAGTACGTGGGCACTATTTTCTTTGTAGCAAACAAATTTGAAATGGCTGATTATGCTGAAAATGCAGTTTTTAAACTCATGAGCAAAAAGGGCACATCTTGTGATAACAAAGATTAGTTGAGAATTATCTTCATATTGACATGAGTTATTTCACATTTGCTCATTACTCATGGCAAAATAAAACAAAAAGGACTGCAACATGAAAGAATTATACTACATAGGAAGAATAACAGAATTACTGTAAAGGTTAAAATGCTAATATTGGTAAGTTTTCTTCCTAAAGACTTTCAGGTTGTCAATTCCTCCAGGATCTCCATTTGCCCAAATTCAGCAATGACAAATGAGAAGAAGTTTCTGTATAATGTTGGTATTAAAAAATAAGTAATATTATTCACATATGTATTATATGCAACATATATATAAATTACAAACTAATAATAAATATTGGTCCTAAATGAACAACTGCCTATTCTAAAAACCTATGTTATGTCTCAGTGACATAAAGAAAAGTTCTTTCTATTCTACTAAAACATGCAAACTACTGCTGAGGGTATTACAATGACTGATTAGTGGGAAAGAGAAAATGAAAGAAATTTCAATTATTACTAAGAAGGTAAGAGATATGAAGATTGTTTTTCCTCTAAAGACACTTTAGATTTTATTTTTCCCTAAAGTAAAAATGACTCAGCCACTGAAACCCCTTTAGTGTCTATTCTCTATACCTCTAAATATTCTTTTATATAATTTACAATTAAAAGTTCAATAACTGTAACTTTTAAATATAACTTCTATAAAGATTAAATTTCAGTATTATAGCACTTATAAACCACAAGACAGTTTATAGGTAGAAATAATTATGTCCTATGGCACAACAGTTTACAAAGAGATATTACTGAATTTTTGAGTATGACATATTTTAGCATGATTTAACACAATAACGTGGTAGCACATAAAACAGTCTACTGGAACACTGAGAGAAATCCAACCTGACACTAAAAGAGACTCAAGATAATATGCCAGTATCTTGTTTCTGTCAGTTATATATGCTATGTATTTCCTACCACAGATAAAAAGGAGTTAACTAGAAATTGAGTGCTAAAACATCTTCATTATTTAAGTAAAACAAAAAGAATCTATAATCTTCACATGCAAATTTAATAAATCATCATGGTTTATTTACCAAGGTTATTTCTACATCACATTATGGTTTCAAAGCAGTGTGATATTAAGAGAACGATGTACAATCAATAAGATTCTTCTTAAATTTTTCTTCCATGGACTTTTCCCATTTTCCTGCTTATCAATAAAAGGCATTTTTAAGTTTATATAAACACATTCTTTAGAACTGTCTTAAGAGAAAATCACTATATAAATAGAATTGGACATGTAGTAAATAAGTCACAGGCCAATAAGTTCAGTTGTGCAGTTGTGAAATGGAGTGTGAAAGTTTTTGAAATCTTAAGACTGGGTAATCTGCAGTGTTTCCAACATGTCTTCAACTGCCTTGAGAGAGTATTTGGTTTCCTTCTTACTTCGACCTGCAAACTAATTTTTAAAAAATACAATTAGGCCCAACTTCAGTGGCAGGTTCAAAAGCACAACCTTACCTTCAAACTGTTAATGAGAGTTAACATCTATTTTATCACTAGTATGAAATCAAATGTTTTCAAACAAAGGTAAAATATAAATGTAAAGTATTTTCTATTAAACATTTTAAAGTACAAGATATCTCTATAATTATTTAAAGTTTGCCATAATTCTTTAAAATTTTCCAGATTTAATAGCTGTCTAGGTAATACTGTTTCTACAGCAAAGTCCTGTCAAATAAAACTTTGTTATATATTGCAATGATGTAAACATGTTTTAAAATATGAGTTTCTAATTCAAGTTGTAATTTACTATATATATATGCAATTGGATTGAATTTTACAGTGAAAACAATGTAACACTAGATACTATCTCTACACATTTAAACCAAATTCACGACATCTTAAATGCAATACAGTGCACATCATCAGTGCGGGAAACACTGCTGAATACCTCCTGCTGATTTCAAAATGAATTTTCTAACTAGACTGACAATTCCCATCATTTATCAGCTTGATTTAACACTACAGAATTACTTGATACGTAAGTGTTCCTTATAGGGGTACATTTATTATATCTGTATTACCTATTTTCCCCATAGTTAAAGCACTAACATATACTATTAACAACATATAGTACATCTAAACACTCAATACATTTTCATGTGACTGATCTTTCTTTCAAATACCAATGCTGCCTTAAGTACTTAGTGCTTGATTTATGATGTGTTCCTTCTCTTTTGTAATTAACTTAATTTGGCAAACTTCTCATGACCTGTTGAGAAAGAGTAAGTGATCAAGCACAGGTAACATCATAGAAGCAAAAGGCTGCAGGAACTGGTAACCTGCCTCTGACCTCTCTGGCTGCAGCTTAACATTATGACTCCCCTACTTCCTAAACCATTAGCTTCTGTAGTTGAATCTTGATTTGATAGAGTAAATAAAGGGGATTTCTAGAGGAAATGCCAGGAAAAAAGAAGAGCTCCTAAGACTCAAAATCCCTTTACCTTTAAGAAGATGTTACTAATTTAAGGAATTCAAATGTTAAATATACAAGTCATAACTACAAAACAGAGTAACAGAAACACCACATTAAAAACTTTGCCTTTTCATAATTCCCTTCGGGGAGTCAAGGATGTGGGTGTGCTTATTACTCCTATTATCCAGTTGATAGATTCACTTTCACAAGGATTTACCAAGAACAGAAAGCCTTTTCTTTCACCACTGCCTACCCAAAGTAAACAGGAATGGTCCTAATCAGATACTTAAAGGTCTAATTCTAAGAAAAAGCTTTGATGGACTGGGAGAGGGGTATAAAAATAGGATACCACAAAGTAACACTTACATTGCAAAATAAAAACTAAGAAATTCCTGTACAGCTAGTCGTAATAAGTATCTTAAAACACAGTATTTTTCTTGGTTTGTACTTAAACATAATAAAAATAAATGTGCATTTGTGATTTTTTTCAAATTAGCTAATAAAAATACTATCAAGTTTGTGTATCAAGAGTACTGACAACCACTGCTACTTAAACCAAACAATTTATTTGTGTCAGGATAAATAAAAGGAAAGCTGGAAATACAAATCAATCACTTCAAATTTTGCCTGACATGCAATTATTTTGTCTATTCCAGAATTATATGGTAATTTAACTGATTAAGCTGTAATCCTATTTTTCCCTCAAATCATGATTTAATTTTCTGTTTCCCAAAGGATAGTAACAGAATCACCTCCACAATCATAGATAACATATGGATCACTAGCACAGATGAATTTAACAGTGTACCAGAGAAGCATTTATCTGGATAATTATTGTGTGCAAGTTCACATTAAAGTTTTTCATGAGCATTAATCAAACTTGCCTGCCTTTAAGGAACATGCTAAACCAATTACCTAATTGAAGAGCAAGTAGTAGCCATATTCTGTTTCATTATTAAGTAGAAACAAAGAAAGAAAAGCAGTTCTTAAAACCTCATTTTCTCTAATTTATAAATGCCTAAAAAACATTACACTAAGGAATATTTTTCTTTATACTTGTTTATATGCCTAGACATGAGTCATGAAGTTCTCAATTAGATCTCACAGATTTACTTACTAAAATGTCAATCTCTGAAAAGTTATACTTTTCCACGATAACCACAAATTCTGCATTTTTGTCTTTATACAGTTATATTTTGCTTAAGTAAACTTTTTTCATAATTCCCTGTTGGATCTCAAAGAAAACTCACCAACAGAACACAAATAATAAAATTTTGATTATCAAAATCAAAGGTCAATGATTTATTCATTGTAATAACTGGGATAAGTTAGGCTAAAATTTACCTTTACACAATTTGTGGAAAATAACATGAGTGTACAAATAGGATAAATAAAATGAAACACTGGATGAATCTCGGAAACATTACAATGAGTGAAAGAAGCCAGGTATAAAGGAGTACATAACCTATTACCTCATTTATATAAAGTCCAATACAGGCAAAACTAATTTATAGTGATAAAAATCACATCAGTATCTGTCTGCGGTAGAGTGGGGATGACGGCAAAGATGCAAAAGGGAACTTTCTGGAGTGATGAACCCTGTGCTTCTTGAATGGGGTGGTGGTTAGAGGGGAGCATATACTCATCAAAACTCAAAAGTATATGTAAAATGTGTGCATATTGTTTTATGTAAATTATACCTCAATAAAGTGAATGAAAAGGCAGGCAAAATAAACACAAGCAGAAGGATGGGACTATGGAGGTACACAATATGTAATAAATTGCCAAATGACTACATACTTCTCTTCTCATTGAGAGGTAAAGTACTGCATCCCTGATCTAGGTTGACAATATGATTTACTTTGCTCAATGGAAGATGAGCAACGTGCAGAAGCTTGAAAAGCTCTTGCACATTAGAGTTTGCCTGTTTGCTACTCTTGGAACTCTGGGACCACCATCTAAGTTCAGGTTAGCCTGCCAAATGAGACACACATGAACCAGCACTCCAGCCAAAAGACAGCAAACTTTCAGATATTTCAGTGAGGCTATCAACCATTATCATAGAAGAGAAATATAAATAAGCCCAGTTGAGACTAGCAGAACTACTCAAGCAAGCCCAAGCCCAACAGCCTACCTACAGAATTGTAAGTAAGTAAGTCATTACTTTAAACCAAGCTATTAGCAAAGGGTAAAAAATATAAGTATTTATGGATTCACATTCACATAAAGAGAACCCACAGCCTCTGTAGAAAAAGCACAGTATATGGAAGCCTCGAAAGTAACAAGAGATCTTATTTAAAACCTATTACTGGTGTCTAGAGACAGAAATAAATTTTCCATGATGGGTGATTCCTAGTTGAGAAGAACCAGAAGTTGCTATACAGAAACCTGACATGACCAACAAGAGATGTTATCTTCCAAGATGACAGAAACTGGCAAAAATTCCCTGTACTATTCCATCCTGTAGAGTTAAGAAAAGGCAAGTCGTACCTTCAGGAAAGATGTGCAAAATTATCTGAGAGTTATGAAGTTTACAGTGCAAAACTCAAAGAACGAAGAGCGTAAGTGATACTCTCAGAGCTCTTTCCAAAAAACACAGACCTTATAAAATGTCTTTGAAAAGAATACGGATCTAATAAAATAAAATTAAAATGTTTTTTAAAGCTCACTGTGGACTATGGTGGCTGCTGCAGTGGGAGAAACTCCCAGTCTCACACAAGAGTTCGTCGGAAAGTGCGCTAAAGCCGAGCAGGTGAGCTGCATTCTTCCCTCTCTGGCCCTTCCCCTGCAGGCAGCCCAGCAAGGAGGGTTGCCCTGCCTGGGTGAAACCTAAGGCCCTGCCCCTATACAACTTATCAGGTGCACCAAGAAAAAGAAATATGGCCCAAATGAAAGAATAGTGCAAAGCTTGAAGAAGAGAGCTAAGCAATGAGGGGACAGCCAACTTATCTGATGGAGAATTTAAAGCCCTGGTAATCAAAATCCTTACAGAACTGACTGAGCTTAGTCAAAAAATGAAAAAACAAATGAAAGATAACCAAAATGAAATAAAGCAAAATATTCAGGGAACCAACAGTGACAGGAAGGAAACCAGGACTCAAAGCAATGATTTGGAACAAAAGGAATAAATATCCAACCAGAACAGAATGAAGAAACAAGAATTCATAAAATGAAGAGCAACTGAGGAATCTCTGGAACAACCTGAAACATTCCAATATCCAAATGATAAGGGTGCTAGAAGGAGAACAACAGCAAATTGAAAACTTATTTGAACAAATAATGAAGGAAAAAATCCCCCAATCTAGCAAAGGAAATAGACTTCCAGGAAGTCCAGGAAGCTCAGAGTCTCAAAGAAGTTGGACCCAAAGAGGAACACACCAAGGCATATCATCATTAAGTTACCCAAGATTAAAGATAAAGAGAGAATCTTAAAAGCAGCAAGAGGAAAGGAGAGAGTTACCTACAAAGGAGTTTCCAGAATACTCTCAGCTGATTTCTCAAAAGAAACCTTAAAGGCAAAAAGGGGCTGGGAAGAAGTATCTGGAGTCATGAAAGGCAAGGACCTACATCCAAGATTACTCCATCCAGCAAAGCTTTCATTTAGAATGGCAGGACAGATAAAGTGCTTCTCCGATAAGGTCAAGTTAAAGGAATTCATCATCACCAAGCCAATATTACATGAAATGTTAAAGGGACTTATCTAAGAAAAAGATAAAAATATGAACAATAAAATGACAACAAACTCACAACTACCACCAAATGAACCTAAAAGAAAGACAAACAACAAAAACAAAAACTAACCAAAAAATATGAACAGGAACAGAATAGAAAAATGGACATCACATGGCAAGTTTTCAGTGGGAGGAAGGGAGGAATGGGGGGAAAGGGTACAGGGAAGAAGCATAATTGGTAGGCATAAAATAGATGGAGAGAGATAAAAATGGTATAGGAAACAGAGAACTCAAAGAACTTATATGTAT